TACATGGTATGCATTTGCCCTTTGATGCTTTTTGTTTTAAAACGGCCATCAAGTAGTTTTGAAATTCATAAACGGTTTTCACCATTTTATGACAAAAGTTCTCACATATCCTGAAAACCTGGTTAACCAATTTCACCACGTTGACCAGGTTTCCGGTCATGGAAAATTAGAGGAATAAGTCAAATGTCCTGGAAAATGTTGTGTTTTCCTGGAAAGTTGTTGCATCATCCTCTAATTTTATTCTGGCTGAGAAGGAACTACTGGGCTTTCAATCAGAGATCCCCAAATCTGATAACATTGCCATCTGAAAGATCCAAGTTCTGTTCAGGATCATAGTAACGTTGTAATTCATGGATGAGAGTATTTTGAATAGGCCTCTCTCATTTAAAGTATGTTGTAGAAACACTGAACACAGCCTCAAGTCATGTCACATGGTAACATATTCAGGTTGCATGATGCTGCAACTTAAACTCTGAATGATGTAAGTGATGAAATCTTTCAAATGTAAATATTAGCCACAGCTGACTGATAAATCTGATTGTTTTTGTTATCTTTAAAGATAATTGATGCTTTTCCCCCCAACTTGTTTTCAATGGTTGAATAATGTTAAATTGGTTGAGGTGGTTTCAGATGTGTTTTGATCATTGTTATATAATAATAAATGGGAACCCGGGGCATTTCCCACAGAATGGAGAGAGGTTGGGAGAGAGATGGAGGCTTACAGCTCTACAAAGAAGCAACGGCACAAAGACTAAGGTTGAGATCTTTTATGTTATTACGAGAAGTGTAAAACATTTTTTGTTTCATTGTGAAAATGGAGGGACAAATAAGACAATGGTGCACTGCCACTGTCTAGGTATTTAATGGGAAACACTGCATTGTCAAAACAATGAATGGGATCCCAACTTTACTCTGACTGAAATAGTGCTTTTCTACTTTGCTAGCATTCAAACACAATGCTGCACTGCTGAGGTAATTTGGACCGTAACATGGTCAACGTTTTGCAGCGGAAGGGAGTAACCCAGTGAACTATCTCAAGCCTGTATGTGTGATAAACTGAGAAGAGTCAGTGGCGGATTTCCCAGCAAACTAGAGCTGTGTTCATAAAGCCACCTAGTACAATGAGGTGCTCATTGTAATGATATTCCAAGAAAACTCTAAGAATTATTTTGTTTTCTTCGAATTTCCCCTCAGTTAAAGTAGATTCTTAATAAGATCAAAAACAATTCAATAATCCTCTTTGGCTTTCAGAGAGCTGCTAATGTGAAAAACTATGACAAAGTACGGTGAAGAACATTCAAAAACGTAACAATTTCTTAGAAAGAGAAAATGGCATGAAGTTGTATTAGTTTTGAGTAAGGCTCTGCTCAGACATAACAATGCTCTAAGTACAGGTGTGAACGAACACTAAATTCATTGATAACACATTTCAGATCTGATCACTCAGACCACAATGGGAGGTGCTAGCATGTGGCCACCTTGTGTGAACGCAAAAGACAGATAGACACACACATTGACAACGGACCCTCCGTACAGTCAGACTGGTGAAAAACAACATTGTTTGGTCTTTGCACACAGAGATGAGGAACATGTTTATTGTCATATGGAGCGGGGAAGTGAGATCTGATCACAAGTGGTCACTGGATATGAATCGTAATGTCAGGTGTGAATTGTACTTATGTGGGACACACTCCTAAGTGTCCTCGTCCCGCTTCACATAAACTGACGATCACAGTTATTAATCAAGGATGTCAGATCATGAATCCTGATTGTTCCGGACACTTAAACTCTGATGTCCTGGCTGTGCTCGTCACGTCTCGTGTTGTGTGTGAAACGCGACAGTTCCTGAATGCAGGCATTGAGGAAAGTATTAACCAAATGAATTGACTTGAGCAAAATTAGGTCAGAGGTTATAAATGTTGGTTTCTATACATTACCGAGTAATTACCCAGCCATGCAATAGCACCATTAATTACACCATTTTTAGATGAGACTTTATTAGGTTATTGTGAAACTAAAAAAACTCTGTAATCTCAAGAAAACACTGAGAACCCTGTATCACCAATATCACATTGTCAGTTTGCTGGTTCCAAAGCTGTGCTGGACCTTTTTGATTCTCTTAGAGTTATGATGGTATACCAGACATTGTGTTTTTGATTTAAATATGATACATTTCTGGGTATCTGCAGTTGTTCTCTGCAGAGCTTGGAGTAATGAAGCATTTTGTGGGGTTGGTGCTACTTGCTGTGTTACAGAAACTCAGGGGAGATAAATTGATAGTTTTGCAAAGATGACAGAATCTCCACCTCCTATATAACTTTTTTTTTATTGTACATCTTTGGGCCTGGTTATTTTAACTGTAATGTCTCACATATCTGTATTTTATTTGGCATTTTAAGGTTGCAAATTAATGTTTTGATAATCTTGATTCCTTTTTTGTTCTAATCTAAAGGCTTTTTTAAATATCTTTTATCTATTTAGGTAAATTGTGAAATTGTTTATTAGTTTTCCCCAAGTTGTTATCGGTCCTCTTTTTCTGTCTCTATAATTTAACTTTATATCATTGTAAATGAGGGTCACCCCTCAATGATTTGTCACATAAATTAGGGGTGGGAATCTCTAGGCACCTCACGATTCGATTCAGGGGGCTACGTTTGATGATAAAATGCATCTTGATTCATCAAATAATTTTATTTCTAAACATGATTTTTTTTATCACTGTGTGACTAGAGGTGTGCATCTTCACTAGCCTCGTGATTTATGTTTTTTAGTATTTTAGACATTCACTGTGATTACAAGTGTGCTGTAATTTACAAAATAAGGTTTTCAATTCAAAAATCTGACTACAACAGTCAGTCTATGACAGTGGTCAGTGCTCTCCACATTGATTTGACATTCATTCAGCTTAGACTTGTGTGCTGCACCTATGCAGAGATGTCCACGTCCGCATAATGATGCATCAAACAAACAATTCATTTCCCCACCTCAAGTATAAATAAAAGTTGTAATGTAATGTTGTCTCTCTGCCCCTTTGCCTGTCTAGTTCGCCAACCAGCCACTACCCCATGATGATGCTTCCTTCTGGCCAGGCAGTGCCTTTGCTCCCTGGTCCTGTACAGATACCCTCTGTAATTAATGTAAGACTGACCAAACATTATGATATGTTTTATTTCATTTATATAGCAGTGAGAAGTTCTTCAAGTTGTTAATACATTTGTATTTCTGTATCGTGTCTGGTCTCCAGCTGGCCCGACCCTTGTGCATGGTACCCAACATTCCTGGGATCCCCGGTCCTCCTCTGGGAGGCAGCAGCAGCGGCTCTAACTCTCCCTCTGGCTACAGCATCCACTCAGAGGCCAAGATGGTCAGCACTAGATTAGCTCTCTATTTTTATCTCTTTATCTGTTCTTTTTGTCTCCATCTTCACCCTCAAGCCTTCCTCTGCACTGGCTTAGTTTGTTCATCATATGACTTTCTACTGCAGTTGCTTGTTTATTTAACCCTTACACCACACACAACACATTTGTACAGAATTTAGGATTATACACAGAAAATTCAAGTAACAAGTCTAACATTGGTGCCAAAAACAGGCTGGGAATTATTTGTTGACTTTCAGAATTCTTCTGGCCACAGGTACATACTCGTAATGACGCTTATCATGATGTATTAAATGTGCTGTTGAGCAGAGCCAATGTCAACTACAAAGCTACAAGGTTTATTTTTAAAAACTGGATAGTAGTCAGTCATATTGTAAAGCAACAACATCAAGCAACATCTTCTCAAAATTGTTCCAGGAACATGCAAAGCCTCCAGAGCTGAACTCAATACAAAGTGGATAGAACAGGATGTCACATGAATGTGCTGCTGAAAATAAGCTGGAACAGTTTGACGCTGTCAGGTCAACATGTGCGAGGATCTCTGCAGAGTTAGAGCACCTTTTTAAATGAGCTCCTCAAAGGATTCAGCCTTTTTCTTGAGGGAAGTAGAATCTAGTAGAAAACCACGATTTACTGCATTTAAAAAAAATGCACACAGAACAGTCTGTCTTCACAGCAGAAACATTTGTTAACATTCATGAATTGTCTGTACATATAACTGTAAATTATAAAAAATGGACTCCCTCACTGAATCGGAACTGTGGTTTCATTTATTTCTTTGTCCGTTTATAGTGTTTTGATCCTTTCTGCTGTTCTTTTCGAATATTCTGATCCCTGTTTACCTTTTGCTGATAATGGTTTTATCACTTTTCTCCTTCAGCGTCTGAAGGCTGCGCTGTCCCAGCAGAGCCCATCAGGACAGAGTATGGGGGTCTTGGCCATGGGTGGCAGCCCCATGGTGCCTCAGAGGGCGGAGCAGAGCCAGCTGCTCGTCCAGCAGCCAGATGCTCCATCACCTGCACAACCACAGGTACACAAGTCATCTATAGTGAGGGCCTTAACTGTAACTTGACTTTAAACTTGGAAAGTGTTCAAAAATACCCAAACATAATGTAGCTAAGGCTTGTTTAATATATGGCATATCCACTGTTTCAGTTACAGAAAATGGGGGTTGTACAGCTTGTATTGTGATGACTATGTCGTGCTCTGACTAAAATGATGAAACTATGATTCAAACTTCCCTTTTCTTTCTTGTCTTGCTTCCGCTCCCCTCCCATCTGTTGTTTTCTTTCTCACCCTCCCCTAGGTATCACCCGCACAGCCTACAGGTGGGCGGCGGCGGCGGACAGCAGACGATGACCCAGATGACCGAAGGCAGCGCTTCCTCGAGAGGAATCGGGCCGCGGCATCGCGCTGCAGACAGAAACGCAAACTGTGGGTTAGTTCCCTGGAGAAGAAGGCTGAGGAGCTCAGCAACATGAACGTCTCACTGTCGGTGAGTGGGCCTGGAGAGGATGGGCAGAGAGGAAATGAGGCCTGTGGGAGGCCTGTGTTAGTGTGTGTATAGTCACACTTACTGTGCCCATTTGTAAGGTTTTCAACTAGTCTGTGAAGTTTAAGAGGTACTGTATGTTTCAGATAAGCAAAATCAATTTCAGGGAATAATTGCTCATTTTACACGAGTTGAAACTGAATCCATCACGACTCGTTCCACATTCTCATTGTATTAAAATTTCAGGTCAATTTTACACCTTATTTCCACTGTGAGCTTCACAACAACTCTGGAAACAGTTTGAAAGGTCTGACTGTTTCGAATAATGTGACCCAGCATTAGTTAGTTAGGTTTCACTGCATGACTACAACTATAATGTGTAACACTGATCGGCCTGATTCTCCGTGCTCTCAGAATGAAGTGTCTCTGTTGCGGAACGAGGTGGCTCATTTGAAGCAGCTGCTGTTGGCCCACAAGGACTGTCCTGTTACCAACCTACAGAAGAAGACTGCCTACTTAGGTGAGTCCTAGTGTTATTTAAAATGACAGTGGGTTTCTTCCATATCTATTTATAGGAAAGCAGGTGATGTACTGAACAAACCATTTGCGTCATATTGCAACTAAAACTTGTTTCCTTTACCTGTTATGTTTATATTATCTACCTTTTTTTTCTGTGCAGTTGCAGAGGAGAGCATGAAAGACACCTCAGAGCCCACAGGTTCTCCTGCCCCGGTGATCCAGCACAGCTCCTTGGCGCCCAGTCACTCTGCAGGGCACAACGGCCTCAGCTCAAGGGCAGCGGCAGAGGCCATGGCAATGTCTGTGCTGGCAGGAATGGGCCAGCAGCAGAGGTCTGAGAGTGGACCCTCTCATATTATCATGGCATCATCACAGTCTCGATCTGCTGCCAGATGATGAGCGATGCCACCATGGCCAAGACTTGGCTCCCCACGAGGGGCAAAAAAAAGAGCAGAGGACACCCCCTCCTGTCCCATCTTCCTCAATCTAGAAATCCAAATATCTCATCTTCTCTTCCCCCCCCCCCCCCCCCGTTGTTCCTCTGCTCTGTCCGACCCTCCTGTGGAGCCATCATGCTGTGGCCTGGAGCTCAGCAGCAGCCTTCTGGGAATGGACTAAGACTTTTGAGAGAGCTTCCTGTTCACTTTGCCACAGACTACAGGGGCTGGACTCCAACCCCCTACATCCACCCACCCCTCGTTTCCCTTAATGCCTTCCATCTCATCGCGCCTCGTCCTCAGTCAAAATGAATCTCCACTGGACTGTCGGACTGCATCACTCTTGAGTGTACTGTCATAACAAACCCCCCCACGTTGACACGTACCACACATGTGCACAGCTTGAAACACACACTTGTTGCATAAACACTCATGATCAAATCAGACACCCAACAACACACAGGACTTCGCATTGTTTAGGGAATAGTGCCTTTTGCTCCTCGACTTTTTAGCCATATACACACACACGCCATCACTGCATACGTCCCAATACATCCTCGACTCCAAAGACACAGCGGCTGTCTAGACTTCCGTGACTAGGATGTCAACTGTCACGTAAACCTTTTTAAAATGGTTCCAACTCAAGTTGATCTCAACATGGACCCAAAATCTTACCTCAGTTACTCCCCTTTATCATAGAATTTATAAACTGTGTGTGTGATTGGCTCTGTGTGTATGTATTTATGTACATCAGAACATAGCAGTTTGCCTACTCCTGATCTAATACATTAATATTTAGATTGTTAGCATGTGACTTTTTTATTAGGGTGTTATTTTCTTGATACAGTATGTGCAGCTATATTTTTTTAAACTAATTGGCACATCCTCCCAGATTAATCCACAGGAACAAAATTGGATTACCCAAATCAGTGATCAGATTACCTGAAATCATTTTGTTCGAGCAATAACTTTTCTGACCTGAAGGGAATTTCACCTCTCCTCTCCTCCACTTCTCATGTTTCCTCTGAAAGAGGCAGTTTTCCTGTTTATTGGCTTGTAAGTGGATGCCTTCTCTGTTTCATCTGAAACTATTCTGGTGACTGTGTTTCTCTGTGTGGGCCCTGGATTTACTGTAACTGTTATTTTCACACTTCTCAGGATGATTGCACATCCTTGGTGCTCGCTGGAGGTGCAATGAACCCCTTACTGTCTTTAGCTCTTTACCAAACCTCGAGTAAGCCATACAAATCTGATCTCTGAATCTCCAAAGAGCACCAGGTTCTTGCTCTTGGGCGGGCAGTAAAAAGCCGGACTGTTATTTAGCGATTCAGAGGTCACAGTGACACAATCTACAGTTTATCACTGCTTGTTATTTGCACTTACTCACAATGTCACACACAATTTCTGGTAATTTTGCCTTAAGATCACATTGGTGCCTCCGATATCCCCTCTTTAAAACAAGCAGAGTTGCTCATCTGAAAATCAAAAAATATTTTCTCCCAATTGTTCATTTCATCAAATGTAAAACAATCAATAAGGATCAACAAATCAATAGAAGATTACTCATCAACCTTTAAAAATGAAAGAATTAATTTGAACCATTAGTGACATTAAATGATATAATACTTTTGTGTCATCTGGTGGAGAAACACAGCAAAGACTTCTTCACTGGTAAAAGCTTTGAGGGAGAAAAACGTCTTGTGACTTGTTTCCGAATGACTTCATTTCTTCTGAAATCCCACCAAGATATTTTACCCAGATATCAATATATTTTTACATGAACACCTATACAAGCGATTTGCTTTTCTTGTTTTTTTCCCCTGTATATTCTTGTCCCTCTTCTGTTTATGTATTTGCAAGATGTGATTTTTCAAAAACAAGATATCTGTCCATTAACATGAGGGCATGTCTTTATGCACTAAAATAATGCAAGTTTATTGTTGCTTTGTATTTCTGTTCATTTAAGTATTCGCGATTCTCTTGGTCTGTGTTTTCAGATGATATTTTTCTCTCTCTCTTCTGTACTGTATACATGAATGGGAATTTGCTCAGATACTTTAATACTTTAAACCTTTGACTGAACCTTTTGTCCTACAGTTCTGATGACGAGCCCAGCATTTTGTGTACTTTGAAGCTGGCGCTATATTTGGCTGGCAGTCCCTTCTAGACGATTGTTCATATGAAATGAAAATTTAAACTATATTTAGCTTCCATGTAATTCATGTCATCGGCACCTTTTTTGTCATTTCTTCGTTTTCCTCTGTTGTGTGCTATTTTCAGCACTATACAACTTATCATAATGCTTTGATTGTACTGATGAATATAGAAACAAATTTCCTTAACACAGATTTGTTTTTTTGTTTGTTTTCCCCACAGAAACGAAATGTCATTAGTCCCTTTTCAAAGAGATTTTATCCCCTTTTATCCCCCCCGTTTTATCCTCGCTAAGATGAATTTGGTCATGTTTTTGATGGTCCTTGTCTAACTTATTTTTACTTAATTGGTTAAATAACTGTAATCATCACAGTCTTCGGCATATTGATGTTAACCAGAATTGTCATGAGAAGAGCAATTTAAATGAAAATGCAACATTTTGAAAGTTGCACGTTGTGTTTAAATGGTTTTTCACACTCCCATTGTTGGACTGATGTTTTCAGAAATTGTCCTATTGTACATATCTGTACTATATGAATATATTAACTTTTCCATGCATGTCCAAGTGAAATACTATGAACACTTACGTACAGTGCTGCAGTTTTAATTAAAGAAACTACATCTTAATGAATATCAGAACGTTTCTTTTGTTTGTCTTTAGATTATCATTGAAATATGTATTTTCTGCAATGCAGTGTCAACTAATATTTACTCAATATTCTGAATATAGGGACATTTGCAGTTGTAATTGAATCATTAATTCATGTACTTTTAAAGTACATGAAACGTCAGTCCCATTCTTGTGAACACGATATCTTAGGAAACCTTGAGGGAATTTCTTCAACTTTGGCACAAATGTTCTTTTTTTTGGACCCACGGACGAATTGATTAAGATTTGGTGGTGAAATGTCAAGTTCACAGCAGACTCACTTAACATGATTTTAAGCTTTTGAACACAATATCTCCAGTCGTCTGCCCTAAGGGAATTTCTTCAATTTTACCAGTTGTCACTTAAACTCAATGATAAACTTTCAGTTATTAGAGGTCAAAGGTCACAGTGACATATGAATCTAAAAAAATTGTATGTAGACTGAAACTGCACTAGCTAAGAGAGGCAAACAACCGTAGTGCGGTTTTTCTGGTTTTCTTTTCAAGGGCCTTTTTGGCATTCACAGCCGTGTTCACACAAGTTTACCAGAAAGGTTATGGGTTCATCTGCAGCATCTAACTTCTTTCCTTCTTTTTTTTATATCAAGACCTGTCTCCAAAACAAACAAACATCAATGCTGGTTCTTGTATTACTTCTATTTATAGCACTACTGACATCAGCATGCTAACCAGCTAGCCCCAGCCTGGCTCATCGTTGCAGCGAGTCACTGTAGCATCCAGAGGGGACACAACGATGGCTGACGCTCTTGGAGCGCTACCATCACCACCACCTGCTCCCAGAAGGAAAACACATTCTGCAGCATGAGAAGACAAACATGCACCACCTGTTGAGGCCTCATGTCCTTTGTCCTCATCAGGGACGTGTATCACACTAAGGCTATATTCTACCATTAGAAATGTACTTTTTATTTGACCTATTTTACCGACAGATATAGGACTACTCTTCTGTGCAGAGTGAAGTATGCATGTGTTTGTGTATGTGTGTGTATATGTATGACACTTTAACTGGGGCACAATCCGCCCCCGGCACTGATAATGTTTCATTTCTTTTATAAAATGTTTCCTATTTTTTATATTTTCTATATTTATACGTGCACAAACACACCACGGCAAATGAATTGTATGCATAAACCTGCTTGGCAATAAAACCTGATTCGTGTGTGTGTGTGTGTGTGTGTGTGTGTGTGTGTGTGTGTGTGTGTTTGTGTCTGTGTGTGTGTGTGCATTCTCACGCAAGTGTAGTTCTGTCTTGACGAGTTGTTTGCTTTGTTGCTGTTTGTGAATAGACAAGATCCCCTGAGACAAAGAGAGAGAAAATAAAACACACATGATGAGGCTTTAATAAAATACCCCCCTACACACACACACACANTGTGTGTGTGTGTGTGTGTGTGTGTGTGTGCCCGCCGGCAGAGGGCGCCTCTGTGTCGGGCTGTGAATGGATGCGGTGAATTCACGCACAGGCGGAGGTGAGCGCGGTCACGTGACCGCTGGTTGCCGCTGGTGAGTTTCTTCCATGATGGCGGAGCTGCCAGTCGCGCGGATGGACTGTCTCTCCCGGTCGGATGCTTGTCTCGTGTCTTGAGGGAGAGCGCTTTGTTTTTTTTAGCAGTTTTCTTTCCGGACGCCAGCCTCCGCTTCCCCCTCGACCGCACCGCACTCGTGTTCCTCGGCCGAAGTCATGGCAGACCGCGGCGTGGATCTGTCCGCCCTGCCGAAGGAGGTGAGGGACCAGTTGGCGGAGTTGGACCTGGAGCTGTCTGAAGGTAAAGGAGACGGGCAGGGGGCTGCCTGCTGCGGGGCGGCGAGGGGCTCACCGGCACATTTGAAACACGTCTGTGTGTCCGACACTGAACCTTTGTTTCTCCTCCTGTGTTTGTGCGCTACATTGAATGGCAGCTGAGCCACCTAGCTCTTTTTGTGCTAATCCAGGATGTTAGCCAGCAGGGCATGACAAGCAGCATTGTGCTGGAGGAGGAGGAGGAGGAGGAGGAACTCTGTTGAACCTCTCATCCGTGTTCATTTCATGTCTGAACTCTGCAGCTCGTTTCAACCAAACGCGTTGATTTAAAGACGTGTTTGTGGAGCTAATGTCCTCCAGCTCCCCTCCTCCTCCTCCAGCCCTGTCTGCCCTGACAGACTGTTCGATGATGGCCTCAGGCAAGGTCTGGCCATCGGTTTGCTTGACCCTCTCTCCCCCCCACCTGTCATCTTCCTCCCTTATCATCACTTCCCTTCCAACAGCACACGTGAGGCTCAGGTTTGAGATGAAATCAAACATGTTTTATTGCAGAGAAACTGTGAGTCACTGTGACTCTTGCTGAGGTGCAGTGACAAGGCCTGCAGTCATGGTCTTCTGTTGTGTGGAGACACAGTCTGTTACCAATGACTGCCCGTGATTCCCTAACATGATATATGACCTCAGTGATGTTCACGGGAGCGATCAACAAGATGTGCACTTATTACGCCTGTGTAAACCTGCTATTACTGGAATTATAGGTGTCCTGGGTTGCTCTACTCCTCGCCTCAGTTTTCTGCGAGATCTTTGTCGGGTGTAGAAGTTTCCTCACATGCGGAAGCTCGAGTTGATGCATGTGTCTATTTTTTGAATTTTACACACATGTGGTGCATTTAATTCGAAGCATATTTAAATGATCCCCTCCCCCCCTCCCAGAGCAGCTGTCTGGCTCACATCCTTACAGGGACAGTATCCCTGTACATCAGCTGCAGGGTGACTGAACCCAGTCGCCCTGAGCGTTGATCAGTGTCTGTTGATTATTTTGAACGTTTCAAGGGATGAGACCATAAGAAGGAATATTTGTTGTCTGAAATATCTGGACACTGTGGTCCTGCTGACTGACCTTCAAGGTTAATATGTTATTCAGCTGGACATCAACCAGTACTTAGTGTGTTGGCTGAACCTGTTAAAGAGCTCTACGGGTGGCTTAGGCTGTTGTAATTACCCAAGTCTAGATGGTTTATACTTGACATAACAGGCGATTTATCAACGTTAACACAGGTAAGATGGACATTTGTCTGCTTTGAATTGGCCATACTGTTTAGACTGTCACCTCACAGCAAGGAGGTTCTTGGTTTAAATCCCAGCTTGGCCGGTGTCTTTCTGTGTGAAATTTGCATCATCGCCCCATGTCTGCCTGGGTTTTTTCCAGGTACTCTGGCTTCCTCCCACAGACTAAAGCCATACAGATTGGGGTTAGGGTTGATAGAGACTCTAAATGGCCTGTGTGCGTGAATGTGTCTGTATGATGCTGCTGTGGTATGCTGGCGACCTGTCTTGAGTGTACCCCACCTCTCGCCCAGCGACAGCTAGAATTGGCTGCAGCTCGACAACACAAAGTGAATTTTGCATTACTTTGATGAAACGTTTTGATGTTTTAGGTGTTGAATTTGTTGCAGCAGCTTTTGTCTGATAGTTTCATCCAAGAACAAACTCTATAAACTTAACAGGAATTAATTCATGTCATAATCTATATTGAGATTGGGGCGTAACATTTCTCTTTTGTTAAATAAAAATATTTTTAGGTCACTTAGATGCAATAATGCAGTTGTGAACAGATTTTAATCTTTTGTGAGAAATTGGTCACAGAACACTACAAATTTCAATGCAAGAAACAACTAAATTCACATTATTGTCCATGTTTACTCATCAGCATATAACGTGAGTTCAATGCTTTTCAAATCTCAGCCCTCAAGTATTCCTGTCCCATTCTGACTTGATGCATGAGGCATGTCATCGCCTTATAGGCTGAGCCCACAACAACCCCTCCTCTGAACCAAGTGAAAATGCCTGTTCCTATGTTGCTCGGATAAGAACACGGGCCTGCCAAATGGCCTCTTAAAAAACAACCCATTTCTTCTAGCCCCCTGTGACCATGGGCACACAATGAGGACCATTCATCCGGTCTGAGCTGCCGTGGCCAGGAGCTCTGCTGCCATTTAGGCCATTCAGCTGAACCCAGTCTTTGTGTGCATGTTGGAATGAGCTGCCTCCATAGCAAGGCAAGGGAAGGGAGGGGCTGGTGACTGGTCATACTTGAGAGGATGACGTGTGTTGAATTTGTGTATTTCTGCTGGGAGTAGTTCACCCCCTCACCCTGTCATTTCTCAGCTGGGCCAGGGGGGGAAGGTCATGCCTGTCTCGTCCCTGGAACTAGCCTACCTGGTTGACAGTCATTTCCATCTGTCAAGTGAGTATTACACACATCTAGTGTTGCTGACAGGCAAAATTCCACAGAGATGAGTTATTTGTCTGTCAGCAGCTGGGGGTACAGACCAGTGTGCTTTCCTGACGTTAAGACAGAAGCTTAAATCACTGGCACTCTTAGGTTTTTACACTCAGGAGTCATTACTCATACATGGGGTGCACATGCTTGTGTGCATGTGAAGATGCAGTTTTACCCAATGTTTGCATCTCTGATCAGTCCATAGTATTGCCAGTTGCTTCCTTTTAAGGCCAATCATACATTGAAGCAGCCAGCCAGCATTCGTAGCAGAAGCAGGCTGGGTTTGTTCGGACCTCAGCAGAGGATGGCTGCCTTAATATGGATTCTCTCTCTCTCTACCACCCATGCTTCTGACCTATCAGTGACAGTGTTCATTACTTGAGGAGGAGGGCTCTGAAAAATATCTCTTATCTCTCTGTATTATTTATGAATGTGATAAAAGGAAGTTGTGATTTATTTAAAATTAGTAGTTGGGCAAAATACTTATTTTGAGATGGATAACAGACATGTGATGAAACTTCCTTAAACTCGAGCTCATGTGGTGCTGAGCTCCACAGTTGGATGTGTGCACGTGTATGAAAAGAGGAATAAGTACCTCTCACACTGGTTGTTAAGCTGAACTCTTGCTATTTGTTAAGAGCTCTAGAAATGTTAGTGAAAATCTAAATTGATATTTTTGAGTAATAAGTCAGCAACATTTTCATTTATTTGACTTTTAAAATAGCACTTTTGCGAGAGACAGTAAATGAAGGGAAGGGAGAGAGAGTGATGACATACAACAAATGTCTTCAGCCAAATATTACATACAGTAATTATAGACTGATTCCTGTTGCACTTTACAAAAGTTTTCCAAATGACATGTGAAAAAGTTAAACTCATGTTTATCTCAAGTGTTTATCTTGAACACTGTGCTATAATTTCCTAAAATTGTATGTACTTAGATCTCTTTGACAAAGTGTCTGTCCCAGAGTTTGTCCATGATACTTAAACATGAACATTTTGTAGCAGTATCATCATAAAGGGGAGAGATTAAAAAATGACTTATTTCACAGCCCTAAGTCAAGTTTTTCTTCATTTTCTAAATGCATTTGAATCATTATGAACTGTCTGAATACTTGTCAGACCAACCCCTGGTTTCCTGTTTAAATTTATTTGGAAGTATAATCCTCATACTTAAAGGTCCAGTGTGTAAGATTTAGGTGAAAGGAATTTATTGGCAGAAATTTAATGTAGAGTAATTCTCATGATGATTTCACTAGTTCTTTTCATCTAAATTGTATGAATTGTAGTTTTCTTTACCCCAGAAATATATTATATTAACATATATTATTACGGAGGCCACCATGTTTTTTACATTAGTCCAGACTGGACAAACTAAACACTTTTTGAGGTTTTATGACAACTGAAGCTACCAAAGGTTCTTTGTCATGTTTGGAAGGGGAGGGGTGAGGTGAGGGGTCTTCAGCTGCAACATGAAACTTCACCACTAGATATCACAAAAGTCTACACACTGTACCTTTAATGTAAAGCTTCCTATAAGTCAGAATCCAAAAGCCACAAATCATCTTCTTTGGAGCTTCAGAGCCAAGACTCCAGGCCCAAGCAGATGGTGGAGTACTCTTGGCAAAGGTATTCCTTTGTATGTATACAATAAATGTGGACATGCATGTGTGTGTGCTTGTGGCATAATAGTCTTTCTGTGAATAGTTAATGATGGCTGCAGTCCCTTTTTCTCCTCCAGGCCTGTAGTAGGCTGAATTATTCACATGCTCTCATTAAATACCAGGACACCCTCACAGAGAGGTGTGGGTGTGGGTGGGTGTGTTGGTGTGCGTGGCCAGTGAGCGTGACTTTCTTTATCCTACCGAGAAAGACACTGAGGCACGCACTGGAAAAAAAAATCCCACATAATTCCTTTAAATCAGAGCCAGGAGTCCTTTAAATCACAGACTTTTAAAAACTGATAATGATAACATGTATTCAAAACTGCTTTCACTTATCAAAAGAAGCTAAATAAAGAAATGCATAAATATAATAGTTATGTAAAATTGTGAATGTGCACAGAAAGTATTCATTTTGATTCTCCAGTTGTTTGTGTTCCACTGTTGCAGAAAACATCTTAAATTTAAAAGCTAAAAAAAACTTTTGTTACAATCACATGTGTGCCTTTTAAGTTGTCATTTCCTTGAAACCATTAACATAGACAACGTAAATTGTAATAATGATAACGTAATGTGATCTCCTCATTTAACATTAGAATTCACTCACTGATGTGACATGTCACCTACTTGTGTATCTCATGCTACGCTAACAGTGTTTAGAAATACGACATGTTTACAAGCCTGTATCTTGTCTTATTGCAGGTTTGTGAGTCACTGCAATTAGGCGTGTTCTCTTCAGGGCACATCCATCCACGTCAAAGGGAGAGAACCTGTTTCAGCCTACAGTCTCACCGGGCTGTTTACTGACTTGATAGGTGTGATTCCAACAATGACTCATCACAAGGGAAGGATGAACGGGAC